AGGAGCCTGGTAGGCTGCAGTCCATGGGGTCGCGAAGAGTCGGACACGAATGAGAGACTTCACTTTCACTTTTCACTTTCATGCATTGGAGAAGGAAATGGCAACCCACTCCAATGTTCTTGCCTGGAGAATCTCAGTGACGGCGGAGCCTGGTGGGCTGCCGTCTATGGGGTCGCACAGAGTCGGACACGACTAAAGCGATTTAGCAGCAGCAGCAGTAGTAGCAGCAGATCCCTGTTGACTGTTTTATCTCGGGGCAGAGGGATTTTTAATTATGGGGGACTTTCAGTTTCCATATTATATTTTTTCATAATCTTTACATTTACATAGCTTTTAAGTAATATTTTAAATTAAAAAAAATCAATGGATTTAATTGATTTAATCAGTGGTGTACCTTTATGTGAACAATTAGCAATTGGAAAATATAATGGACAAAGAGCTCATTTACCATAGTAACCACAACCACAAAAAAAAATGATCTATACCAGAAAAAATACACAGAGGAACACAATACTTTATAAATTTACTGAAATGAAAGGTTAAATATCATGAAAATGTTAATCCTCGCTATGTGTTGTGCTAAGTCGCTCAGTCGTGTCTGACTCTTTGGAACTCCATAGACTACAGCCTACTAAGGCTGTCCATGGGATTCTCCAGGCAAGAATTCTGGAGTGAGTTGCTATGCCCTCCTCTGGGGATCTTCCCAACCCAGGGATAGAACACAGGTCTCCCACAATGCGGGCGGATTCTTTACTGTCTGAGCTACCAGGGAAGCCCAATTCTCTCTATAGTAACCTATAAATTTTACACAATTCAATTTCCAGTTCTTCTATAAACATTACAAAATGATCCTGATGTTCTTTTGGAAATATCAGCATACAAAAGTACTAGGGCATTTTTGAAGACATTTATTTAAACGGGGACATTTAAATTTGAGATGATCAAACTATGCGGTACCAGTGCCAAAATGTACACAATGGGCCACAACAGAAAGTTCAGAAGGATGTTTATGATATTTAAGGATTGTGTACACAGTGAAAAATGGGATCTTGTATCAGTAGAGAAAGGAAAGGTTTCCCTATAAGTGATGTTGGGGTAATTTGGAAAATAAATTCAAAATTTATTGGAATTTGGAAAATAAATTCCAAATGAATCACAGATTTAATTGCTTAAACAAAACAACAAAAGTACACAAATAAAAGACTGGTGAAAATTCATACAAACTTGAAATCAGAAATGCAAAGATGTTTAAAAGCAGTCCAGCAAAGGCAGCAGTCATGAAGGAAAAGATAAAGTTGACTAAAAAAAAAATTGTTTTAGTCCAAGTCATACATGGAACTTAAAAAAAATTTTTTTTAGGGGAAAAACAACTTCTTAGAAATCAATGAGTCAGCTAATCAGGGGGCAGTGAGGGCGGCTGGGGAAACAACTTAGAAATCAATGAGACAGTTAAACACCTTGTGAGAAAATTGGCCAGAGAAGACAAATAGGTAAACGAGAAAAGACTATAATCTAATGAATATTTCAGCTAGGGAGGGTCACACTTTCAATTAAAAAAAAGCATATCAAAACTAGCCCCATGGTCCCCACAGTAATACCAGTGCAAAAGAGGGAGTCAGACATTCTCACACACTGCTGGCAGGAGTATAATTTGGTATCGTCTTTCTGGAAGGCAATTTGAGGCGAGATATTTACCAGCTGAGCCACCAGGGAAGCCCCATATTAAAAGTTCCCAACATGTGCATATTGCATTCTTAGTCAGGATACATTATATGTGCTGCAATAGCAAAATAACCCTGACATGCCAGTAATGTTAAGACTTAACATTTGTTCTTTATTCACACTGTAGGTTCACGCAGGTGGGGCCATGTCAAAGTAGGAGAAGGGGAGCTATCCACACAGTCACTCAAGGACCCAGGCTGATAAAAGCTCCAGCCCTGGGACGTCACCAAGGCAACAGGGAGTCTGCAGATCTGCCCGGGGCATCTCAGAGTCTGAGCCTGGACGTGTCACATGTCACTGCTGCTCATACTTCATTGGCCATAATTAGGAACAAGACCTGAATGACTCTAGGGGCTGGGAAGTGGTGTCTCCTGTGTGCCCAGACAGACTGGGGGAGAAGACAGGGTAGGCTTGTACCACCCTTCATACTTTGAGCCAGCAAGTCCAATTTTAGAAAGTTATCCTAAGTAAGTATTCTGAGAAGTTCATGAAGATGTTAGAAGAAAGGATTTCATCATATCCTTGAGCACAACCATATAAAATTGGGAACAACCTAAGTACCAAAAGTACAACCTACACAGATGGTAAATATGATGCTGTTACACATTTACTGACATAGAAATATAGTCACAATATAGTGTTAAAAGGAAAAAAGCAAGTTAAAAGAGTACAATATGTATAACATGGTTGCATCTCATGAAAAAAGTAATAAAACTTATATAGATGCATACAAAAATGTCTGAAAAGATATATGCCAAAATGTTAACAGTGGTTATAATCAGATGGTATAACAACAGGTGATTTTTTTCTTTTCACTCATCTGTAGTTTCTTCTTAAAAAAAAAAAAGTATATATTATTTATGTACCAAAAAGGCATGAAAAAAAACCCCAGTATTTTTGGGAGAGTCCATTTAACTACCTCACACTTATCATTAAATTCTTATATGTGATGCAAGAAATGCCTAATTGTCTGTCACACCATAAGACACTGCTCTAACAGTTTATTTAAAGTCAGGACTTTAAAAGTGGAACACAGGGTAAGAACAGTAACACACTCCCCATAGCTGGGTATCCATCAGACCTGTCAAGCATCCCACAGTCTGGACCCCTCTGTGGTTTCTCTGGGCTCCTGCCAGGTGCATCAGGAATCTGTGTGGCCTAGGGGTGGGGGGCACCCCTCTTCACAAGGCTCTGCATTTGTCAAAGAGAGTAGGACACTGTACAATTCCGCTCAAAACAAAAGACTCACAAGCTCTTCTTCTCAAAGATGGATATCAGAATACATAACATCACCACCAGGATTACTGAAGACTCCTCTTAGCTACACATATATTTTATAATTGAGAATCCTTCCTTGTTTCTCCTTCATCTCCCTGCTGCTTCCTCCCCTAACACATTCACCCTCCTGCCATCCCCCCCCCCCCCCCACCACAGACACTCTCCAAAGTTCACTAGACCATTTCACTCAGCTGCCAGATTCTTACCATAATCACCTTCTTCCTGGCTGGTGTTTAAAAACGAACTGGGAAACCCATGTTCTTGAGATAGATGTATGCAAAAGAGACGTAACACAACACACATTTCTATATAGGATCCCCCTCTCCGTGCCGTCCGTCACACTCACCATCCCCAGAATATATATTTCTTTTGGAGAAAACCATGCAATCAGAAATCAGGGTCCTTTTCAACCATGCACATCATTTAAAAATCTATACGGACGTTGATTTGCAGGCTGCTAGTTTACATCGTCAGTGCTTTAACACCCAGTGATGTTTCAAGTGAATAAAAGAATCATCATAGCTTTTAGAAGGACAAATGACCAAAATAGCCACTTTCAGTGGTGAAGAGAGTGCGGTGGCTGGCTCTGTCTTAAAGGGCACCCTCTGACTTAAGAGGGCAGCCTCCATCGAGTGCCTCTGCTAAGTTCCACCTCGGCTGCCTGCCTGCCTGCCTTCTAAAGGTGCACCTGGCCACAACAGATGTCCCACAACAAGGTCCCTGGCATGGTCTGTGGTTGGCTCTGGCTTTCACTGAGAGTGGCCCCTGATTTCTTTGGAAAAGCAGTCTTTCCTACAGAAAAGGAGTCTTTTCACAATGGGCAATAGTGACACCTCTGGACAGCACATTAACTATATCCCCCCCTTTGCTTGATGTTTTATGTCAGATGCAGTACCCACTGGTCAGACATCAGCCAACCACCCTCCAGGCTGTGCCCGTGGGCTGCCAAGCCTAGAGAAGTCCCCAAGGAGCCTGCAGGATGGAGGCCAACAGCCCGGATAGCAGACAGTCCTCCCGGGGGCTGGTCAGGTCCTACTCAACCTGTTCTAACCACTGGCCCACCTGCTCCCTCCCTGGTGCTGGCTCCAGCCTGGGAAGGGGGTGGGCAGTGATGGCCATTCCCCCAACCAGCATTCTGTTTACTGCTCTGTAAACATCTTGGGGCCTCCTGCTTGTTTTGAACAAACAGCTCCGTCTCCATGAAAGCCACTGATGAAAGACTCAAAGCGTTTGCATCTCATCACTCTTGCCTCTCAGAGCACCCACGTCATTTTAAACAATGATCTCTTAAAAAGATCCCTGCAAAGACAGAATCATTCAAAAGGGGACTCACTGCTGTAATGAACACAAATGTAATTCTGATTTGCTCATTTGTAAGTCATCACTTGCTGTGGACATGTGTAGGAAGACACAGGACCAGGGTCTCCAGGAGACCCAGATGCCACCTAAGCCGTTGCTCACTCACTAGCTGGTTGACCCTGGGGGAGTCGCTTGTCTCTGCTTCCTCTGCAAAATGGGGAAAGATCTGTGCCATGTTCTCTCACCCAACCATGATCCAGAGTAACAGCCTACAAGGGAGTGTGGAACAGAGGGGGCACCCAAGTTCCGGGTCTCGGGTAGACACTCACCCTCTTTCCAGGCCTGATCACGCTGTCCTGGTCTCTCACTCGGGTGGTTTTCTATTCCCTGGGCACTAGGAAGATTTCACCTCCCCTCCTCACCCTCCACTGGACCACATACCCAGTGGGTCTTTACTTGAAACGAAAATTATTTTTAAGGATCATTATGGCTGAAGGCTTCTAAATTTTACTTCGCTTGTTTTAGTCCCGGGTTTTACAGATGCAGAAAGAAAAAAAGAAAGCACATCAGGATTTAGGCAGCCAGTCTTGGAAATGTCAAATCAGGAGACACCACTCAGGACAAAGATACAGCCCTGGCTATAAACCCTCTGGCAGCACAACGTGGCCAGGTGCCTGCGGGGGTAGGGGTGGGGGTGGCGTTTACGCCCTGCCTGCGTTTGGCTTAAGATCGAGACAACGAAGGGTGTGAGTGCCGAGAGGGGAGCTGGACTTCCTAATAAACAAGGGCCCGGTTAACTGGCTCACAGGGAACTGCAACAAATTCGGTGGGTCATTATCATGACATCCAGAGGCTGTTGCATAGGGCCAGGCACTCGACAGACTGCTGAGGTTGTCCTGGGCCTGTTTTTTCCTTTTAAAAAGAGCAAATGAAGAACCATTAAGATTTTCAAAGAAAAGCAGAAGGAACTGAGAGTCCACGGTTTCTGCCCCTGCTGAGCCCATGTCAGCTTCCTCGTGAGAGGCGCCCCTCCTGGGCTGCATGGTGTACAGCCAGCTGGGCCCACCCCATGGGGGCTCGCAACTCCTCACCTAGACCTGCCAGCACTCACCCAGCTCTTTAGCTGTCGGCAAACAGGCGTCAGGGGTCTCAACCACACAGGGATAAAAGCAGCCCACCATGCTCAGGGCCCTGCTGCTCTGGAACATGCTGGTGGCTCAGACAATTCTGTCCTCTAATGAATACGTCCCCTGAGTATATTCAGGGTAGTCAGGACGGCTTCTTCTAGATGAATAAACCGCCTCACAGACAGAGGTGGTGGGTGTCAGATGACCCAAGCTGAGGTTTCGGACTCCTGGTGTCCGCTGCTCCTGGACAGCAAACCCGCCCCACCTTCTGACAGGTGGACTCACCTGACCTGAGAAGAACACCCTTTAGCCCAATGCTGGACCATGGGGCTGACCCAGGACCAGTCTAGCTCTCCAGGTCGCCATTGCCCTGAGAGCTGTCCGGAGCACCAGGGAGGGGGGTGGCCAGTAGCCCTACTGCCCATCAGGAGGGCTGCCTCCGGCCCAGTGGACCTCACCAAAGCCGCCCACTCTGCTTGTAGGTCTCCCTGGCATGGCCCAGTGCCCCAGACCACCAGCCTCCTGTCTTTCCCCATCCCAAACCAGACCTCCTCGCTCTGGGAGATGTTTCAGCGACACAAAGAACAGTAGGACATGGCAGTCACATCCTCGTGTCCCCTGCCCACCTCCTCAGGCTATTGTATTGCTTATCTACATTCAGCAGGGATAAATTCTAACATGTGAGAAAACCTTTCTAGAGGGAGAAGTTCTCACAGTGGTTCTCAAAGCAGGTATGGAGGCACTAAAGCCTCCCCCTCCATCAAAGGCATTTAGAAATGCCTATAGCCAGGGAAATTCAGACAATTGTGTCATGCACAGGGCAAATGAGACACCCACTTACTTGCTCCACTAAGAAACTCAGTGAGAGAGGAGAGGCTTACGGCTCTGGTCCCTTCCTTCCCAGGAACAGATGGACGCAGGAAGCAGACTTTGGCAGAACTCCTCTAAGGCCGAGGCTTGGTCACTTCGAGCCCACTCTCCCTCATGGGCCTGTGTGATCCTATGTGATTTCTTTTTCAATTATCTAAACCCAACAGAGGATCCTATCCTAAATCCCAAGCCCTGGGCAGCCCCTCTACCAGGGACAGTCGGCAGTCCTGGAATCCCCAGCCCTCACGCTTGGAGAGGAAGAGTGGTTGCAGTGTTAGAGGTGCCCCCCACCCCTACCCCGACAGAGAACCAGGATGGACTCCTGTGGGGTTGGGGCTCAGACCATTTCCTGCTGCTTCCACCGCTACCTTCCCGGCCCCAGGGCCAGCTGAGCCAATCCACGAGTCTGCTCACAAAGTCACATTCATGGCTGATAAAGAATGACCCAGTGCACCAGGACAGGAGACTTTCCAACAGGGGCTTTGGCAGGAGGGGGGTGGGCATTGATTAAAACACTAAATTCTGTGTATACGTTTAATTGAACAAATATTTATTAAGCACCTACTTTGTGCTAGGCACCCTCACTGTGTGCTGTTCCCACAGCACAGTATCCTGTTCAGAAATTAAAACCAAGAAAAGGAACGTTGTTGCAACCTTATAAACTGGAGGGCCAGTGGAAGTGGGCTGAGTGGATGTAGGTGATTTCCCAGCCAGGAAACAACCCCACGAGACACTTGTCTCCTCTCAGGACAAGTATCTACTAAGTCATTGTTTGAAAGCATCTCTATATATGCTGAGAGGGAAGTTACTATGGCCATGCCCCATGCACTGGAGCCTGGTGGACATTCGAATACTCCGAACTCTACTCAAAAAAACAAAACAAACCAAAAAAAAAAAAAAAAAAAAAGGAGGTGGAAAGGTTATTCCTATTCAGATTAGAAAATACTATTTTTTTTTTCCAGTTCATATGGTTGCAACAGCCCTTAAAGAAGATATAAACATCCCTGCCCTAACTGCGTAAACGTTTAAGGTAGACCTAGTTCTGGATTCCTGAGTCAGAATCGTCCAGTCATCCACGACCTCGCAAGGCCAGAGAAGCGAGGGGGGATTTCTATTCTGGAGAGGAGAGGGTGGACGGCACCCCTGGTTTGGAAACACGACAGACCGCGCCTGCATTGACAGAAGCCACGTGAACAGGAGGACGTCCTAGCACTACTGCGGGTCACACACACCCTGGGGACTCACACGGGACCTAGTTATCGGCACCCAGCTTGGAGAGGCCCCGGCGGAAGTCGTGGAGGTCGTCAATCTTGCCGTCCAGCACCTCCAAGAAGCTCTTCAGCTCCACCTTCAGGTGGCGCTGTCGGTACTTGCTCTCCTCGATGTCCGTCTTCAGGGACCGCACTTTGTCCTCCAGGTTCTGATTGTCTCTCTCTGCCGCCTGCAGCAGAAGGAGAGAGGACGGACTGCTGATACAGTGGAGGTGAGTCCTGCCAATGCAGGGGACGCAGGTTCGATCCCAGGTCTGGGAAGATCCCACAGACCTCAGAGCAACTGAGCCTTTGCTCTAGAGCCCGGGAGCTGCAACTAGTGAAGCCCCCATGCTCCGCAGCAAGAGAAGCCACTGCAGCGAGGGGCCCACGCACCACAACAAAGAGGAGACAGAAAGAAGGGTCTGGGAACAAAGCAGGAGGAGCCCCCTGAGACCTGTGATAGTCAGTGAGTCAGTCCCCGCAGGTGGGCCTGCCTCTCTGGAGGTGTCAAGTGCACCACCCCCCCCCAATCCTGGACATCAGGTGTGTGCCCCTCCTTCCTGCTGTTTGCCAGCAGAGATCTCATCTTAAAACGATGCCCACAGAGAACACAGAACTCGGAGTTCTGCCCAAAGCAGCCCGGTGCCAAGCGATGCTTTCCTCAAGTGCCTGGCAGAGGAAATCTGACATCCCAGCCCGTGGGGTTTTCAGCCCCAGGCCCAGGGTTGTTGGCAGGGCCCCCTTTGGGGTCCATTCTGGGGGAGAGACAGCATGAATGGGAGAGTGACTTGTCTCCACTGAGAAGGTGAGGCCTCCTTGGCCCCAGGCCAGCCTCTGGCCGTCCGTGAGGGAGGACTGGCCGTGCCAGACGCAGGGATGGTGGGTCTGTGCACCGTCTGTCCCGTGGTGTTGCCATGGAGACATTCAAGCTTCCAATGGCGGGACTGCTGTGAGTCCTTACGGGAGCATTCTTCATAGCAAACAAGAACTTCCATCTTGTGGGGATAAAAAGAGGCCTTCTAAATATGTGTTACAGGAACCAGTTACTAATACTGAGGCTGTGTACCTGAACAAAGTGCTCTAGAAGTGAGGAGACCCTCGGAGGTGAGAGAGGGCCTGAAAACACTCCTTCTGTGGATCAGAAATCTGAGGCCAGGAAGGGGCGGCCTGCCCAAGGTCATATCCAAGGTCACTGGCTGGGGCAGTGCAACAGTCCTTGGTCTGAGGCTCTCCCTTAGCCCTCCCTCCCTCCTTCCTGGCCCTTCTGTGGGTCTGCAGGGACTTCTGCCGGCAGGCAACAGCCACCTGCACTACAGTTTCGCACGAAAGCTTTGTGAAAGTGGAAAAACAAAAGGCAGACCGGCTGAGTCTTCCCCTGGGGGCAGAGCAGGCATCCAGCAAGCAGTTATGCTGGCTGTTTAGGAATCCGAAGTCACTCTTCTTCACCAAGTGAGGTGAGAATGGGAGAAGCCTCAGAGAAATGGGTAACATGACGGATGCCTTCGAATCTGAGTCAAAGTGCATGTGCTCCCTGCTCTTACCTCTAACTTCTCAGAGACGTATTCACACTCTGACATGAGCTGAGGTATGATTTCACTCTGTTTTCGGAGATCTGTCAACTCCTACAGGAGACAGAAGTTTGAAGAAGAATGTGAGAACGTATCAGATAAAATGTATTCTTGAAAATCCCTAAATGTGTATGTACAGTCATGGAAGTGCCTTTTGGAACCTGTGTTGTCCGTGTAAATAATGGTGATGATGTTATACCTAAAACACATCAGGCAATTCTAAAGGCTGAGTATGTCCCGTGAATTAAAGCATGAAGCCTGCATGCCACCATGAAAAGAGAAGTAAGATTCCTGTTTTTGTAGGGAAAGTGAGGATGAGAGAGGACTGGCAACTTGCCCACAGTCTCCAGCCTCTGTGGACAGTGAGTCCCCTCCATACAAACCTTCGAGCTGCAAACTTACAAAGATGAGAACGTTCATTCGCATGTCTAGTTGCACAAGTTAGTTCATGTGCTTGGTGTACACTGTCACATGAAAGCATCCTCTACACATGGTTGAGCTTTTGTGTACTCTACCACACAGGACTGCATGGAGGACAGTAGTACAGTATCTTTACTTCAAGTCCAGCATGTCCAGAAGCAAGTGTAAAAGCAGTGGTGAGGTAGCTGACACTACTGTACTTTTCAAGGTACTAAACTGCAGGATTAAAGGTGTTTTACTTTTTGGGTTTGCCTTTTATGTATTATTTGTATGAAAAGTATGATAAACCTATTACAGCGCAGTGCTACACAGCCGATTGTGTTAGTTGGGTACCAAGGCTAACTTTGTTGGACTTAGGAACAAACTGGACTTTTGAACAGGCTCTCGGAATGGGACTCGTTTGGACAGAGGCGAGTCACTGTACTTAGCTGTCCCGTCCCCCAGGAGATAAATGACTGTGTGACTGGGGGTTCTTGCTGTGTTAATTTGACAGCAGAACTCAACTTCTGATGAGGGACCATCTATGAAAGTTTCCAAGAGCGTTTGAAAATGTCCAACTCCTCTGGGATCTGAGAGCCTGACTCTATGTAATAAACACAAGGAGGCTGCACAGGGTAATGGTCAGGCCTTTGCTCTGGGCTCTTTGTGTCTTGGTGTGGCTCCTGGCTCGGTCTCTGTGCTGCTGTCCGGGCAGCTGCCAGGGCCGATCACACGTCCCACGGCCACATGCTGTGTCCCTGGGTGATCACCCGCCGAGGCCCAGGGGACATGAGCAGCACGGCTCAGAGCTCTGCCACTCACCGTCTCCTTTTCTCGGAGTTCTGATTCTAGCTCCTCAATCCTTCTCTTCAACTGGGTATTCTTCTCCTTCTCTCTGTTGATCTCGCTGCACTGTTCTTCCAGCTCGTCAACCTTTAATAATAAATACCACATGTTAAAGCAGGGGTGCCAGTTTACTCTGGGCTTCTCTGCTGGCTCAGACGGTAAGAATCCGCCTGCAGTGCAGGAGACCTGGGTTTGATCTCTGGGTTGGGAAGATCCTCCGGAGAAGGGAATGGCTACCCACTCCAGTATTCTTCCCTGGAGAATTCCATGGACAGAGAAGCCTGGCAGGCTGCAGTCCATGGGGTTTACTTTAATCATTAAACAAGAGATTGCCACAGCTCTTTTAAAATAAACCCTAAATTAACCCACTTACAAATGTTTCCTTGTGGCTACAAATGAACTCTATGGGGCTGCCCCAGGCTGTTTGCTCATACTGGCACAGGGCGCCTCACTTAATACCAGTGAAGCCATGGAAGTCACACAACCTGGCTTCAGGATGCTCCAGGATTCTGGTTTTCTCTTGTAGCCACAGGACAGTAGTTCTAGATTTGGTTTTAAGGATCTGTCACAAGTAGGGGCCAGATGTCCCATGAATCTGTCTGCTTCTCCCCAGAATGATGTTCACCTTATTTTAATCGTGCCCTGAATGATTCTGTTGCATCTCCAGAGCTGAAGTCAGCAGGGTAGAGAACCGAGCAGCTCTGTGGGACTCAATGACATTTCCAATGCTTTTAAATCAAGATGACCTTTCCCCGCTGATGCACGCAGAAGGGGCCTGGCCTGTGGGTCTCTTCCTGGACAGATGACAGTTGCTGGCTGACCTGGCACATCCTCAGAGTGCCTCTTTCTCTCCTTCTCCAGCTTGACCCCCCGGAAGGGATGTACAGGCCTGACAACCTTGACATTGCTGTCTGATGCTGGGCAATTCCCAGGGGCCAGAGTGGATGGCAGGAGTGGAACCAAGTAACACAAAAGCGCCAGGTCAATGGGGTCCCCGCTAGTGGGCAGTGGCAGTCCTCAGGGTGAAGGGCACTGGGTGGTCACCTTGAGGACCGTTCTCAGAGATGACTGCAGCAACCCTCAGGATCTCACCCCCAGCCTTGGGGGCTGTCGGAGGTCCCCCAACATCCACACCCCACCCTGGAAGTCAAGTTCCCAGGGCTCCCCATGCAGCGAGCAAGTTACACAGCAGGCACTTCCTCCACACACCATCACTCCCACCCCCCAACATGGCCCTTTGGTTCTTACACTCAGACGTGAAGCAAGAAAACTCAGCTCTTGGCTTGGGAAAAGAGGGCGATCGATCCCTCTGGCAGGCATATGAGCTCAGCCCAGGAGGGAAGGTGCAGAGTCAGCACTTGGCCTGCGCCCCTCACCATCAGCACTTTGTGAAAAAAGGACACGAGGCACTTTCACGTGCCATTTGTACTGAGACCTGGAAGGCAAGTGGTCTCCAGGGGATCCGCCCAGAACAGGGTGGGGGGTTACAAACAGGGGTGAGGGGGGCCAGTCCCCATCTCAATGTGGTGCAGACCCTGAAATCTGCAAAGCAGACCATGGTCACCAACTGTGGGGAAAGTGCTGACCAGCAAAACAACATGGCAACCTCGGGACCTCAACTGGGGGCCCCCAAACCTCCACATCAATTCAGCCCAACATCAGAGTGTGAGGGACTGATTACAGAGAAGGGCAAGGGTAAATCCTGAAAAAAAGTCAAGATGCTCGGATGTCAAGGTAGGAGGGTGGAGGGCACATGAGGGCAGTGGGCACCCCGTCCCCATCTCACACTTCCTGTCCTGGCTTCCTAATTCATGTTTTCAGAAATAGTGGTCTGCACAGAAGCAGGGTTTCTGAGCAATCACACCCCACCATTTCCTCAGTCTGTTTTCTTCTCTCACCCTCTGGAAGGTCACTGAACCAACAGAAAATACCAAAAGGAAGCTGCCCACGAAAGGCCAACCTGCAGTGCACATGGGAGGGTGCTCTTTGAGAGACAAAGCTGCTGTCTCCCATTGATTCCTCTTCCCCTTGGCAACACAAATGATGAGACTTGGTTCAATAGAAGGATTAAGTCACTTCTGTGCGTGGCTACACTCCCCTTATGAAAGCAGGCGGGAGGTGGAGGGAGGGGGGGATGGAGTGGAAGGAAGGCCCCAGCTGCCCCATCCCATGCCTGCCTCCCACTCCCTGTGGGTTGGGGCCTCAGCTGAGCCCACCTTGTTCCGGAGCCGGTCGTTCTCATCTCGGCACAGTGAGAACTGGCGCTTCCACTGCTCCACGCTGGCCGCCGACTCCTGCAGCGCTGAGGTCAGCCGCGCGTTGCTTTCTCTCAGGGTCTGCAGCTCAATCTCCCACTTCTTCACGTTGGCAGCACTGTGGGGCAGGGGCCAGGCAGTGACGGGGGTGGTAGGTGCCATCCACTCCACTGCCAGCCACGCCCTCAGCCCAGCCCTCAAGGCCACATCCTCTCCCTCCGTGGCCTGGCCACAAGGACCACGGGTCCTGCAGGCCTGGCGCTTCTCTTTAGTGGGAACATATTTGCCCCACTAAAGGGGCACTAATTTGCCCTGCTGGGTGATTTTTCTCAAGGCATCACTTCAGAAAGGACAGAATTCTCAGAGAAGTAAGAGATGAATCTAAGAATGAACTGACCCATAAAAAAGAACGAAATCATGCCATTGGCAGCAATATGGATGCAACTAGAGATTCTCATGCTAAGTGAAGTAAGTCAGAAAAAGAAAGACAAATATCATATGACATCACTTATATGGAATCTAAACTATGACACAAATGAACCTATCTCCAAAACAGAAACAGACTCATAGATGTAGATAGCAGACTTGTGATTGCCAGGGGGAGGGGGCTGGGGGAGAGATGGATTGAGAGTGTGGGGTTAGTAAGATGCAAACTATTACATACAGAATGGATAGACAACAAGGTCCACCTATATAGCACAGGGAACTCTGGAGAGAAGGGAACCCTTGAACTATATTCAACATCCTGGGATAAACCACAATAGAAAAGAATATTGAAAACTCTGAATGAAGCCACACACTGTGGTAGAGAACCCCCTGCCTGCTCCCTACTGACTCCTGACCACAGGAGGGGTCCCTCTTGCCCCATGTCTAGCTCCTTCCTGAAATGAGCCTCAGGGATAAAGGTTCTGAAGTGCTGGGGTGGAGCCCAGGCCCCCTGAGACTCTCATGAAAGCTGTGGATCTTCCCAACAAGCTCCTGACGCCCCGCTCTCTGGAGCCCAACGACCCCAGGCTTAAACAGACAGCCTGGATCCAGCTTTGACAGCTGAGGACCAGAGGACAGAGAAGACAGGGCTGGGACTCCCCTGCGGGGTTCCAACCACAGTGTGTGTGAGGGAGTCCTGGCCAACCCCATGTCACCTCAGGCCTGGGGGATGCCTCCATGTTATCACCAAACCACATGATAATCTCTGATCCTCTGTGATGAGCAAAGTTTTCAAAAACAAACTGCAGTTAGGTTCCCCTCAAGCTGCTGTTCCCATTCAACACTTCCCTTTGTTTCCTTGCTCTGGAGCCCAATGTTCACTGCAGCACTATTTACAATAGCCAGGACATGGAAGTGACCTAAATGTCCACCAATGGAGGGATGGATAAAAACGACATGATACATACATGCAATGGAATACTACTCAGCCATAAAAAGGAGCAAAATCGTGCCATTTGCAGGAATGTGGAGGGACCTAGAGTCTGTCATACACAGTGAAATAAGTCAGAAAGAGAAAAACAAGTATCTCATAATATCACTTATTCATGGAATCTAGAAAGATGGTAGAGGTGAACTTATTTGCAGAGTAGAAACAAAGTCACAGATGCAGAGAGCAAACATATGGACACCAAGTGAGGAAGTTGGGAGTGGGATGGATTGGGAGATTGGGACATATACACACTACTATGTATAAAATAGGTAACTAATGAGAACCTTCTGTACAGCTACTGTGACCTAGATGGGAAGGAAATCTAAAAAGGAAGGGTAGAACTGATTCACTTTGCTGTACAGTGGAAATTACCACAACATTGTAAAGCAATTATGTGCTTAGTCGCTCAGTTGCGTCTTATTCTTTGTAACCCTATGGACTGTAACCCACCAGGCTCCTCTGTCTATGGGGGTTCTCCAGGCAAGAATACTGGAGTGGGTTGCCATGCCCTCCTCCAGGTGATCTTCTCAACGCAGGGATTGAATATGCCAATAAAAATTAATTTTTAAAAAACCCAACACATCAGACTTAGCCACTAAGAAAAAAAAAGTTCCTGGCTTCTAAGCTATACTGCCTGGCTAAGGAAAGTTCTCTATCTAAAGTCTTCTTTAAAAAAAATTTTTTTAAGTAAATACAACTGTATTTTAATAATCTGCATTATCTTTCATTCACCTCAAGGTCCTAGGAATGTGACTGGAAAATACGTACTTTTGGTTTCAAACACCACAGACTGAAAACACAGCAGATACTATCATGTGATTAATTTCAGAGTTGATGAGCGAGAATCTGATCTGATTTAGGGAAATGACTTCACACTCATTCCTGTAATTCACTTGTCCATTAAACTGGAATTAAAAAAAAACATTTATTTTTAGGGGTGAAACGTTTTCAACCAGGCAGTCCACTGTGACTTAAACAACCAAAAACAGTCTTCACGATTGCCTGATGATTAAGAGAGATTGGTCACAGTTTTGTCCTCTGAAGCACTTGATAAAACCCACAGTCCAAAGCAGGTGCTGGATCTGTGGATCTCACATTCCTTCTGGAATTCCTAGGTCAGATCATGGGAACTGAGTTCCAAGCACCGGACAGGCCACTGGGTGGCAGAAGCGGGTACTAACCCATTGGCTCCAGCTGTGGAGCACGACTGGCTGCCCCGGGAGGATTTCTGAAGGTTCCTGCCTTGAGTATAGACAGGCAGTGTGGGACGGTGGAGAATCTACCAGCCGTGTGACCTTGGGCAAGGACTGGCTGTACCATTTGGGCCTCGGTTTCCTTATCTGTGAAGAATGGAGGGATTAATATGACAGAGCTCTTACACAGGGCAGCTCTGAAGAACGCAGCCACAGAGGGGCTGGGGGAGCTGGCAGAGTTCCCTGCCAAGTGAACAGAATGACCCCAAAGACAGTGACCCTGAGGATGCTCATGGGGCCAGCCCACACGATGAGGTCCAGCCTGGCTTTGGGAAAGGGGCCACATTCTTGAGATACGAAAACACAAGCATGGCTACTGTAGTCATTGAAAATTAAAATCTTGCTGATATCATTATGGGGACTGCATTAACTTTATATATCAATTTAAGGGAAATTAATACTTTTTTAAAAATATTAAGGCTTCCTACTCCTTTCCAATAGACTCTTTTTCTATTTGTTAAATTATTCATATATGGTCCTCAAAATTATTTGAGTTTTCTTCACAAAGATCCTGTACATTTTATAAGTTTATTCCTAGGTATTTTATGGTTCATATTATATTTAATAATTCATACTATAAAGGAAGGGCTTCCCAGGTAGCTCTAGTAGTAAAGAACCCCTCTGCCAATGCAGGAGACGTAAGAGATTTGGGTTTGATCCCTGGGTCAGGGAAGATCCCCTGGAGGAGGAAATGGCAACCCACCTCAGTATTTTTGCCAGGAGAATCCTAGAGACAGAGCAGCCTGGCGGACTACAGTCCATGAAGTCACAATGTTGGACACGACTGAAGAGACTTAGCATATAGGCATTATAAAAGAAATCTCTTCTTCAAATATATAGTCTATGTGATGTTTGCATATAGAAAAGTTACTGATTTTTGTGAGACTTTATATTATTTTAAAGATAGTCTCTTAAGGTTTTTATATGTTTCTCTTGGATGTTCAAGACAGTCTATTACATACAAATAAATGATAAATTTGGCTTCTCAAAAAACAAAACAAAGTGAAACATAAGCACAGGGACCCCCCTGGCAGTACAGTGGTTAGAACTCCACACTTGCATTGCAGAGGCCCAGGTTCAATCCCTGCTTGAGGAACTAAGATCCCACATGCTTTGCAGTACAGCTGAAGAAAAAAAAAAAGCATAGGGTCACATTTCTCTTTCACACACACACACACAGATGCTGCTATGGACAGGGAACGGCCACGTAGGCAGCTGGTCTTCCTCTGGCCAGCAGACAAGACCGGCTATTCTGAGCAGAAGCCAGTCTCCTCCCCCAAGTTCCTGAAGCCCTGCCCAGTGGGAGAGGCTGCAGGGGAGTGCTGACTCTGGAGACGACAGCGCCTGGATCTGCACATGCTCACCTCTGGGTTAGAGCGATCTTCAGCTTGTCATTCTCGGACTTGAGGTGTGTATCGGCAGGACCCGCACAAGAGGCCTTCTCATCGTCTGTCCCATTGATGCTGGATGCCTGAGTGGAAGATGGGTTACCTTTGCACCTTATCACTTGTCCTGACAGCGGCAGGAGCTGAGTGTTTATGAGTGTGGGAGACACAACGCCTCCAACCAGAACACACAACACAAAGACTAATCAAGACTGGCCCTGGAAGAGTCCACATAGAGTCCAGAAAGTCTGTGTGTTTTATTCACAAGACAGCATCTGGGGCTGTTAGGCAGAAACTTTTTAAATCAAACTTTACAGGTAAACCTACAAGTCAGGATACCTGGTCTCCTTAAATAACACAGGACAGAAGCCACAGATTAAAAAGGCAGTGGGGGTGGGGGTGGTTATAGTAAGAAACAGTGACTGAGTTTGGAGAAGGAATGGCAACCCACTCCAATATTCTTGCCTGGGAAATCCCATGGACAGAGAAGCCTGGCGGTCTATGTCCATGGGGCCACAAAGGAGTCGGGCACGACTTAGCGACCAAATGACAAGAAGAAGCTGAGAGAACTTTTTATCCCAAGGCTACAGAAAAATCATTTAAAAAAAAACTGCCAAGAATCAGATATGGGTGTCTGCTGTCTCCATTACTATTAGCATTGTTATGAATATTCTGTAATGCTTTCTGTAATAAGACATACCACATGGAGGTCAATCTCATCTGGTCTCGGATAAGGTCTTAAAAAGACATTATTTAGTCTCCAAGAAGCATAACAGCAAAGGGAGGAACCATGAAGGGAATGAATTTCTGGGTAAACTTCTGCATCACAAAAAAATGCCAAAAACTATATCAGAATGTAAACAACAATGTGGGGGAAATATCTGAAGTGGATATGAAAAACAAAATGCCAATACTTATATTTAAAATAAACTCTTGGAGTTCCCAGCTCTTAGAGCTACACTCTGAAATATTTGTGGATGAAATTGTGTCTGGGATTGGCTTTAAAGCAAAGGTGGAAGGAGAGGGTGGGTGTAGATGAAATGTGAAGTGAAGTGAAAGTTGCTCGCTCAGTTGTGTCCAACTTTTTGTGACCCCATGGACTGTACAGTCCATGGAATTCTCCAGGCCATAATACTGGAGTGGGTAGCCTTTCCCTTCTCCAGGGGATCTTCCTAACCCAGGGATCAAACCCGGGTCTCTCACATTGCAGGTAGATTATTTACCGGCTGAGCCACAATGATTGGTCATAAATTCCTAATTGTTAAAACTGATCTATGGGCCCATGGGGTTCAGTTACATAATTTTGCCTAGTATTGTACAGGTTCAAAACTATCCATGCTAAAAAATAAAGTTCTTGGAAATGAACATAAAAAAGGGAAAGGATATGCAATTGACATTTACAGTAGAAGATATACAGACTCAGTAAACAAAAAAATTTAATCTTACTAGTAAAGAAATGCAAAATGAAAAAAAACCAATAAAATACATTTTTCTTCTGTCAAATAAACAAAGCTCTGTGGGTGAGGGTGTGGGAGGAAAAACTGCTCTCACTCACTCCTGGTGGGAGTCAGAATTGTACATTTCTGCAGGGATGTTTGCAGTATGCGTCAAAAGCTCACAAAACCTCCTACCCTTAGTTTAATAGTTCCATTTCAAGAATTTATCCTGCAGTATAAGTATAACTGAATCACTTTGTTGTAGACCTGAAACTAACACAGCTTTGTTGTCAACTATATTGATGCTAAAGCTCCAATCCTTTGGCCACCTGATGCAAAGAGCCGACTCACTGGAAAAGACCCTGATGCTGGGAAAGACTGAAGGTGGGAGAAGGGGACAACAGAGGATGAGGTGGTTGGATGGCATCACTGATGTGATGGACCTGAGTTTGAATAGGCTCCAGGAGTTGGTGATGGACAGGGAAGTCTGGTGTGCTGTAGTCCATGGGGTCACAAAGAGTCAGACACAACTGAGGGACTGAACTGAACTGAACTGAACGACACTCCAATATAAAATGAAAAGTTAAAAAAAATTTATCCTGCAGAAACCATCAAATGCACAAAAAGTACACAAGAACAGCTTATCACAGTGTTATTTATATTAATGAAAAATTAGAAATAACATAGATGTCCCAAATTACAGGAGTTTGGTGGAATAAGCTGTGATATAAACAAACACTGGAATACAATCTAGACATTAAAATAGTTTTGAAAAGTGATAACTGAAAACACAAGGAAATGATTATAACAAACATAAGTTTAAAACATTAACAAAATGTCTTCGGTAAGAATATAGGTAATTTTTATTCCCTCCTTTATAGTATGGCATATTTTAAATTTCTGCAAAAAATATGTATTGCTTTTACATTCAGAAAAACACATTAAAAGTTTTTGTAGTTAGGTTGTTTAAAATCTTCAAGTATTTAGAAAACTTGGCCAAAGTGCTCATTCTCTAAGAAATTCAAAAAACTAAGCAACTGTGTGATTTGTAATAAAAAGAAAAATGGACAATGATCTCCATATCTGGGAAAACATCAGCAAGGGTAAGTAAAAACTAAAGCTTAGAAAAGCCATTTATATTTAATTAATATGTATCTATATAATAATAACATCTTCTCTGTACATTTGACTTTTTTAGGTTTAAAATACTTCAGGGATGAAAATAAACATTAAAGCAAAAACCTTATATAAAGAAATTCAGATATTAAAGATATCACTATACCATGACATTTAGAAAAAGATGGTATATTAGAAACTTTGTATCATAAGTTATTGCTTATATGTAGAATTTAAGGTAATAGTGCAAATGAACCTATTTGCAAAACAGAAGTTGAGTCACAGAGGTGGAAAACACACTTGTGGTTACCAGGGGGAAAAGGGGTGGGGAGGATAAATTAGGAGATTGGGACTGACATATAGACACTAGTATATATAGAATAAATAGCTAGTAAGAACATAATGCAGGAGATCCCAGTTCGATTCCTGGGTCAGTAAGATCCCCTGGCGAAGCGATACATTTACCACTCCAGTATTCTTGGGCTGCCCTTGTGGCTCAGCTGGTGAAGAATCCGCCTGCAATGTGGGAGATCTAGGTTCAATCCCTGGGTTTGAAAGATCCCCTGGAGAAGGGAAAGGCTACCTACTCCAGTATTCTGGCCTGGAGAATTCCATGGATTGTATAGTCCATGAGGTCGCAATGAGTCAGACATGATTGAGCGACTTTCACAAGAACCTACTGAATAGCACAGGCAATTCTATTCAGTTCTCTGTAAAGAATCTAACTCTGTGTGTGTGTGTGTGTGTGTGTATGTATACACAACTAAATCACTTCGCTATACAGAAGAAAGTAATACAACATTGTAAATCAATTATATTTCAATAAAAAATTAATTAAAAGATAGATTTTCCTCTATCTAATGAAATAAAATTTAGCATTCTAAAAAAAAAAAGAAACTCCTCAGACTATGGACCACTTCAAGTGCCCAATTTTAGAGTTCCTCAGATATTACTCAGTACAGACATTAGTATGCTAAATCAACAGTATCATTTAGATGATATTACAGATTGTTTATAAAGATTCAGGAAAGTTCCTGTCCACTTGGAGTCTAACACACATTCATTTCCATAAATCCACAGGGACATCTTTTATATGATCCAGGTTCGGCTATGGCCGATGACCAAGCCTAGGGTGTTGACCTTGACCACTCAGGATGCCTGTGCCTCCAGGTTCTCTTCCAGGAGGCAGGTTCTCATCTCTGCCCCAGAATCCATCCATGGCCATCCCGGCATGGCCATTCTCCATCCCACAGCCTCCTCGCCAGTCTTCCTGCCCTCGGCTGCTCCCTGACTTCCTCACCACCCACATGCAACCATCGTGTCAATTCCTGATCAGTGGCCATAAAACACCTCAAGTGTCTTCTCACTATCCAATAGTACAAAATTAGGTAGGAAGGGATCCAGTAATGAAGAAGTCCGGGTCCTTTACGGTCCCTCCAAGTGCATCCCTGGTCCTCCCACCGCACTCTTCTCCCCCAGGCCGGTAGACTCCTGGCTTTCACTTACATCATGTTTATTCCTAACCCCAGATGCTTGCTCCTCATGTCTCTCTTGCCCTGTCTCTCTACACATAACTCTGTCACGAGGTCAAGGCTTCTGCCTAATAATACCGTATACCCCACCCTAGACATCAGGAAGGCAGACAGTTTTATTTCAGGTTAAGATAGGTCCCTTTTAGTCAGTGATCACACTTTTAAGTAGACAGATGACTCAGTTCCTGGCAAAGCCACATTTTCGTTGACTAAACTAGAGCTGTTGAAATACCACCTCCCACCCGACTTTGTTATAATAGGGAAACAGACAGGGAGCCTCTGGCATCGACCAAGTTTTCTCTGTCACGGGCACAGGTAGCTGCATTGGTCCATGAGCATGCTTCATGGAGACCTCCCTTCCCAACACAGAAAGAAAACACGTCCTCTTGGCATTGGTATTTAAACAGTGACCAGAGAGAATTCCAGATGAGGGACATGTATTAACTCTCATCTCATCAAATGTTTTCCATCCAAAATGTATCACCACATCTTGAAAAATTCAAGTCTCATAAAAACATTTCACATCTTTCTCACTGTTAACAGGCTAATAGTTGAAAAGCCTTCAAAATGCCCTACTGTGAAAATTTGCTCTTTCCTGTCAAAAGTGACAAGGAACAAAGTCCCAATCACTGATCACACTCATTTATTTTACGGGCAAATTACTTACTTGGGAATGATTGCTCGAAGTCTCAATTTTCTCCTGGGATTTGTCTCTGGCTAGTCTGGCAGCTTCTTTCACTTCCTGGAATTTCTCTGCAAACTGAACATGAAGAATTATTAGAGGTATACTTAACCTTATACATGGCTGATATTCAGAACCCACCTTTATTATTTTGCATTCATTTGAAGTCAATAAATTCTGTATAAATCCAGGAGAGAGATTTTATTTGAGATTTAAAAGAAGTGAATATAAGAAATGCTTTTTCCTGAACAACAACAACAAAAAACAACAAAGCCACAGTCAGATCTAAATGAGTTTTTAAGATACTGAAGCAAGATTTGATAGTGAAATATTAAAAACACACACCTCTGGTTAAGAGTACCTAATACAAATGCAACAAAAGAAATTTAGCTATAGCACAAAAGGAATCCCCCCAAAACTTCATAATTTCTCATGAAAGATCCAAGAACTCTTCTGAGTCAATGGCATGAATAACAAAAACATCCAAAAAGCTGGGGGGAAGGAACGTTCTAGATTTTAAAAGCCTAAGATGCAAAATGTAACATGTTAGCCTAGGACTAAGTCCTCTTTAAAAAAAAAAAAGTTTATTTATTTGGCTGCGCCAGGTCTTAGCAGCAGCATGTGGGATCTAGTTCCCTCACCAGGGATTAAACTCAGGCCCCCTTCATTGGTAGCTCAGAGCCTTTAGCCACTGGGCCACCAGGGAAGTCTGAGTCCTCTTTTAAACAGACCAATTATAAGATTTCTGGGCAACAACAAGGGATATGTGAACATGGACTGGATAAGATGACACCAAGGATTTACTGTTTTATTAGTTTTGTTAGAAGTGCTGCTGATGCTGTGGTTATTGGAAGATGTCATTATTTAGAGATAATAATGAAGGATTTGGGCTTCCCAAGTGGCACAGTGGTAAAGAATCCACCTGTCAATGTGGGAGATGTGGGTTCGATCCCTGGGCTGGGAAGATCCCTTGGAGAAGGAAACAGCAATCCACTCCAGTATTCTTGCCTGGGAAATCCCATGGACAGAGGGGTCTGGCAGGCTATAGTCCATGGGATTGTAAAGGGTTGGACACAACCAAGCGACTGAGCACACACATACACTCTGAAGTATTTAGGCATGAAATGTCTTTATGTCTGTAATTTAAAGTACTTCAACAACAATTAAAAACAGGTGAAAGTGAAAGTCACTCAGTCGTGTCTGACTCTTTGTGACTCCATGGACTATAGTCCATGGAATTCTCTAGGCCAGAATATTTCTCTTCTCCAGGGGATGTTCCAAACCCAGGTATCCCACATTGCAGGCAGATTCTTTACCAGCTGAGCCACAAGGGGAACCCAAGAATACTTGAGTGGGTAGCCTATCCCTTCTCCAGGGGATCTTCCTGACACAGGAATTGAACTGGGGTCTCTTGCATTGCAGGCGGATGCTTTACCAACTGAGCTACCAATAAAGCCTGAAAACAGATGAAGAAATGTGGCAAAGTGTTCACTATTAAATTTATGTAATGCATCTGTGGGTGTTCATTCTACTATGCTCTCTGCTTAAAGGAATGTTTTAATATTTTCTTAAAATTAAAAAATTATTAAAATCCCAGAGCAATCATATCAGTCAGTCACTGCTTTATTGTCACTGACAAAGCAACTGATTTTAATTAGCAAATACACTGGACAGAGAACTGCCTGTGATAGCTAATGCTGACATCACACAGCAAGAGAGCCCAACGTGGTTGTTGAGTAGCAAGAAAAAGCCAGCCAGTGCCAATGCCACCAATAATGCTATGTCTTTCACCAAGAACTCGGTTTCTGAGCATAGACTGCCCCCCGAGTGTCTCACAGGTCAACAACAGCAGTCTGCTTTGGGAAACCCTGCTGGATGACAGCTGTTGGTAAACCAAGCACCTGGCGGAAGCAGAAAAGGTCAGCCTTGCAACGCTGGCTGGCGTTGCTCCGGCAGGCCCGTAAATTAAGCCACCGACACAGAGCTTCATTTAACCAACCCAGAGCTACCAGAGAAAAACCACATTACCTGCTGCTTAAAAGGTCTGAGGTCCAGAGGGGATGGATGAAGCATCCCCCTTCCTTTTAGGGGACCCGTGAGTAAAAGCATCAAGTCATGAGTTCCCTGATGGCAGGGCCCATGCTTTTCCCCTTTGCACCTTCCCACGAGACCAGGTGGAAAGCAGGTGTAAGTAAGTTTGTTAAGAGAATGAATGAGCTCTGGGTTTTAGATTTGCACACTTCCACCGTCTTGGGGAAAATAACCCAAAACACGTCAAAGTACGGCCGAACCTAAGGACCTGGGGAGGTACCATGGTACTGGAGGTACCCACAGACATGGGAATACTTCACTAGGCTCCCAAACCAAAGGCATTATTTTTTTTACAGACCCTTCTTGCACCTGTCAGGGTCTCTTTCTCTCGGGGTCTTATTTGAAGTTGCTTATAAACTAGATTAGAAATGTCATCACCAGGGTCATGTTTACTCAGTTGACAAACATGGTCTGAGCAAAAGGACTTCAGCAAACAAATAAGGGGCTGTGGCCTAAGCTGGGTGCTGGGGTATGAACACTGTAAGCATCAGAGAGAGCGTCAGACTTGGGTAGCAGAAGAGACTGACAAACAAATCAGTAATTAAAGCCCTGCCAGGTTTTGATAAAACAAGCGGCCTCTGGATGGAGCTTGGGGCCTCCATTCTGTCTCTTCCAACCTGACCCTGACCGTCGCAATGACCCTCAGCTCAACTCCTGGAGACTCAGTCCAGAAGGTTCAGTGGTCCCTTCTCTCTCGGTCCCCTGACACCCATCATGCTGACCCCTCCAGGTGTCCCACAGTTTTACCTTGGGTGGGCATAACTATCACCCTCTTCCCCTAGACCCTCAGCAGGGCCACATCTACAAGGTAAGGAGTCTAATGGATTCTTTTATTAGGTTTTATTTATTTTTTGGCCATGCCTTGCAGGATGCGGGATCTTGGTTCCCCAACCAGAGATTTAACCTGTACCCCCTGCATTAGAAATACGGAATCTTAACCACTGAACTGCCAGGGAAGTCCCAGAAATTTAATGACTTTCAATACACATTCTCCTGTTTGTTACCCTTTATTGGACAGGAATTCTTATTCATAGTTTCCTCATAAGAAAATAGAGTCTTAGAGAGGTTAATATTTGCCCATGGTCACATGGCTAGTAAATAATAAACCTGAACTTGAGCCTAGATCTGATTTCTACATGATCATCTACACATCCAGTTACTTTCGTGTGCCTACACGAATGCCAGAGACTTGCACAACAGTTGTTAAACATTTATCAATTGGATTTTCCATTTGCAAAGAGAACTGTACTTAAAATAGAATTGTACTCACTTCCTCTTTAAAAGAACATTATAAAAGCTTTAATTCCAAGGCAGGTCATGCGAACCTTTAAGGCAAAGACAAGGCCTGAGGATCAGAAAATCAGATGCTAATGGAGTGAGTGGCCTGGGCAACAGCTCTATCATTGCTAAAAAATTTGTGACTTGCTTTAACGCAATATCTGCTTCATTGCAGTGGTCTGGAACCAAATCCACAGTATCTCCAAGGAATGCCTATGAACAGTAACAGCCTAGAACATCTCAAAAGGATGTCACCTTGAGGTGACAGCGCTACTACACCGGCACACCTCGCTTTATCGTGTTTCACGGATACTGTGTTTCTTACAAATTGAAGCTGGCAGCAACCCTGCACTGAGCAAGTCTATCAGCACCATTTTCTCAACAGCATTTACTCACTTTGTGTCTCTGTGTCACATTTTGGTAACTCTAACAGTATGTCAAACTTTCATGGTGATCTGTGATAACTGATCTTTGTTGTTATTACATTCACTGAAAACTCAGATGACGGTTGGCAGTTTCTAGCCATATAGTACTTTTATTTAAGGTATGGTGGTGGTTTAGTCCCTAAGTCATGTCCGACTCTTGCGACCCCATGGACTGTAGCCTGCCAGACTTCTCTGTCTATGAGATCTCCCAGGCAAGAATACTGGAGTCGTTGCCATTTCCCCCTCCAGGGAATCTTCGCGACTCAGAGATCGAACCCGGGTCTCCTGCATTGCAGGAATACGAATACTCTTTACCAACTGAGCTGTGAGGGAAGCCACTATGTATTTAAGGTATATACATTATTATTTTGGACATAATCCTAGTGCACACTTAAGGGACTACAGTATAGTGCAAATAAAACTGTTATGTGCACTGGGAAGCTAAAAAATTTGTGACTTGCTTTAACGCAATATCTGCTTCATTGCAGTGGTCTGGAACCAAATCCACAGTATCTCTGAGGGATGCCTGTGAACAGTAACAGCCTAGAACATCTCAAAAAGGGCAAAACAGTACATGTATTCTCGCAGTCAGGATGCACAGTAGTACTATGCACTCACAGCCACTCTGAGGTCCTCTTACTACTGTCAATATACAAATGCAGCACAGACAGGTTTCATAACTGGCCAAGGTCACACCGGGACTGAGTACAGGCCACTTGACGCCAGTGCTGGACATTCCAGTGTCCTGTGATTTACCTACTTAACTGCTACCTTAGCTAAGATGCCCAGCTCTAACCCTTATCCTTCTTTCAAATGCAGGCAAATGAACCACTCTGTACTTTGCTTTCTTCATCTGTGAAAAATGAGTAATAATAATGCAGTCTCCATGGATCCCTGGAGGATGAGAGATGGGGCTTTGCAATGGGCATTCAACAAAGGCAAGCATAGCTTCTCATGGCCTTGATTTGACTTAAAACCACGAACTTAGGACTTCCCTGGTGGTCCAGTGGTTAAGACTCTGTGCTTCCAACATAGGGGACATGAGTTTGATTCCTGATTGGGGAGCTAAGATCCCACATGCCATGAGGGGAAAAAAAGCCACAGATTTTTATTAACAGAGCTCCACAAAAGGGTGAATTCATTCATTCAAAAATATTAACTAGCTATCTCTAGGTACACTGAAATACTTAAGCAGGACTTAGTTCCTGTCTTCAAAGGAATTCTCGGTCTGTAGAGGACTTTATATTCAAATGGGTGATAATCAAAAGAATTTTTATCAGAAAA